AATCAGCTTCCCAGCAATTCCAGACAGATCAGCATGGATAATGAATGCATCAGTCACACCTAGTCCTTTGAAAATCTCCCTTAGGTTATAGGTGCCAGAAACAGAGACTCTTGGAAAACATGTGTCTCTTCTGTTGAATGCAATGGAAAATGAGGGTGAATCACCACACCTGGGTATCACCTGCATGTCTGCCAGGTGGCAGGTCTGTGAGAACCCAGGGAAGGGGAAACAGTTCGTTGATTCACTGCACATTCCTTTAGGTGAAAATGTCTGTGTCCCCGGGACAGATGTCACTGGGAAATGCAAGGCTAAACTGGAAATTTTGTGCAGTTTTGCAGAAAAGAGATCCATCAAGGGGAATTACACGGAAGAGAGTATGGAGCTCCTGGATGCTTTGAGGTATGCAGTGGCTGGGACAGGGGGACTCTTGCTATAGGAGCCAGGGGACTCATAGAAAGGACTGACAAACATGCTTTTCCCATTTCCCTACTAATGGTCTATATGAAAGGAATTAAGGAATAATTTAATTATCTCTATCCCTACTGTCTGCTCAGTTATGCAGTGTGTTGGTTCGTCCTTGCAGGAGCACATCCTATATCATTAACTTATTTCTGTTCTTGTTTGGTCATCAGATTATTGTGCTAGCTTTGCAAGTTGTATTTCTGGGTATTCCAGGGCAAAGGATTTGTGACTGCAAAAAGAAAATACCAGCAAGATAAGGATTGAGCAAGATGAATGTGTACTTTGCATGATAAACCCTCATCCTATATAGATCTATCATTCAACATATATCTGTGAAAAGTTCATCTCAATAAACTTATTGATACACATAAATCCAGTAAAATCAGGAGTTTGGTATAATTGCAAAACCGCTGTAACTAGAATAAAATCAAGTCCTCTCTGTATACTTATCTTTTTCTGTAAAAGACATCCCACATGTGCTCTGCACATCTTACAAATATTCATCCTTTTCTCCCCCAAAAATGAAAGTGCTTCAGGCTCCCACTTCAAAAAGCAGCATGACTGACAGAAAGGAAAAATGCTGAAGACTAAGCAAAAGTATGTGACAGAATTGGGAATAGAAGCTAGACCTTTTCTGTTTTGTTTTCAGCTTCTTCCACCAATGCAATAGGAATCCTTGAACCAAATTTTCATATAAACTCATAGTCTGCTAGATGGAAGTTTTATAAATAATCTATTTTATTTCTTCTGTGTTATGTCTCAGAAGGAAATCAGTTATTACCAGGGTGTGATTCCATTTCTCATAACAGACATTTTATCTCAGATGATAATTTCATCAGTGTTCAGAAAACAATATTTTATGTTTTCTGCTTTTTCAGTACCTAATCTCCTAGCATTGAAAGAAAAAGGGTTCCCAAGAGCATATAAGCATTTAAGACCTGATGTGTATTGCATTGGAGTCAATCAAACAGCATTTTGGTGTTCAAGATGATTAATCTGTCACTGAGAGCTCATCTGAAATTCTACTGATGTATTTTCCATATTGTCTTCCCAGATGAAGATATTGGTGTTGTAGACCTACTTAACACTACCAAAGCTTTTCAAAATAGCTGTTATAAGTTTTATAAAAATCACTCAAATAAAATGGTGGAAAAAATAAGTAATAGTAGGTAAACTGTGTAGCCAGAATTTTGCTCTCAAATTGAATCTTAGCTTGAATTTCTTTTTCCATCAAACTCAAGTAGTTAAGACTGCAGACCAAAACCTTTAATTAAGTACAACAGTACAAGAACTTAGACATGGCACATGTAACTCCCAGAATTAAAATAAATGACAGAAAATGAAAAGTGGTGTGCCCTCCTGAGTGTCAGTGAGGTTAAAACCCAGCCCGTCCAGCACCTGAGCCTGGCTGGTGGCTTTGGAGACCAAGGCCAGCAGAGCAAAGGCAGCAGAGATCCTGACCAGGGAGAAGAAAACACTCTTGCCAGTTTCTTGGGCAGTCAGTGTGTGTTCCTGAGGGCTTTCCATTTGCAGGACCCAAAAGAATCTCCATTGTGGGTTTACTGCTCCTGTGGTGCTTAGTTTTCCTACACTGCTTATGTCCACTGGACTGTTGACAGTCAGGGACAGCAGGCTCACACGCAGCAAAGGAGCATTGCATGCAATTATGTATAAAGAAAAAGCAGAATCAATTCAAGGTTTCTTGATCTAATTGTAAGTAGATTTCATATCTGGGTACCATTCCAGAAACAACTCCTAAATTCATCCATCTGGCCCTTTGAGAACCTCTATAGCTTTATCAGGTTATAGCAACATTTGTCTTTCTGACTTGCCAGTAAAATAGCTTCTAAAAATTTTTAGCAATCAAAAAATATGAGTTTGCCTTTAGTCTGGCACTGTCTTTGAGATTGAATTATTCACCTGGGATCTGGTTATATCTGTCTGACTCAGCACTAGTTTGGCAGTGGTATTACTGCAGCCATGGTCTGCTTTATTTAACATCACTGTCAGATCTGAGGAGTGAGGAGCTATGCGCTTTATCACCTCCATCTCTGCCTGCCTCTGCACAGTTGGAAGGACAGCTGCGTGACATTGACTTTGGGTGCTGAGTCTTTCTCAACAAGGAGTGCACCTGCCAAGGGAGAATCTCCAATGGCCTTTTTTCTGCCAGCTCATTCCAGTTTGAACTTAAGGCTGCACCTAGCAAGCAGCTAGGTCTCTGAACTAGTGACATACTTTCTGGATCATAACAAAAATCTTGGTTTCAGTATTTTTAAGGAGTGGATATAGATGATGGACAGTGTCTATACTTCCACAGTAAGTTCTATCACATTTTAAATTGCCTTTGAGTTCATTTATATTACAATGCAGTAGAATTAAACTTGTGCTTCATGATAGTTTCTATGTGCTCATTTGTGGAATGTTAAAGGTATCTGCATCATCAAAGCATTGCTGTATCATCTGAGGACCAGCATAAATTCCTAATGAGGAGCAGCCTTTTGAAAATAAGCATGCACAGTTACTGTGACAACAAATGCGCAGGACTATTTAGAAGAAACCACCAAAACACATCTATGCTAAGTACATGGGAGTCTCACAATCTGTGCCTTACAGTAGTTTTGAAGGATGTTTCCTGAACTTTCTAATCTTATTCCACAGAAGGGCAAAGGGGCTCCAGTTCCCTCACTGTTGAGAAGTAGCTGGTGAAGGCCTATCAGCATGACCTGGAATTTAGTGTCATTCAAAAAATGCAGATCACCAGCAGAGTGGGAGCTTATAGGGCTGAGTGCCAGAGGGACACTTTCTGACTCCTCAGTTGTTCACTCTGGCTCCATTTGTCCCAGTACATTGAGCAGTTCTGGGGCCCAGACCTGACCATCAGCCTGTAGTCACTCACATCCTTATATTTTTAGTACAGTTTCAGACACATGCCATCTACGACTCTTCCAAACAAGTGCTGAGCATGCTTTTGGAGTTAGCACAGGCCAGTGGGTATTTCCAATAAGCAGCTTGGATGACTTGCAGGGTTAGAGTTAAGCAATGTGGATATAAGCAGTGATGAGCCATTTGACCTCATGGTCAGAGAACAAATCTCGGAGCACTTTATTTACTAGCCTAGATGAAAACTCTGGAAATATGATTAATCTCAGTGTTTGTTTTATTCCTTCCAGGTATTCATACCCTATTGCTTCTGAACTTCTGTTTAGAGAAACTTCTTTTTACAAGAAATACATGATCAAGTCTTTAACACAATTTTAGTAACACTTTTTGTGTATTTAGCTGACTAAAGTATTCCCCAGCTCTAATTTAGCCACTGCTTCCACTTAGGATGTTTATGTAGCATTTCTTACTTAAAGGGGTACTCAAAGAAGCCAAGACATTGTGGGTGGATGTCATCAGCTGTGAATGTCATAAAGGGGAGTATAGCAAAAGACGTGACCTTCAAAGGAAGCGCCTAGGCATGGTCTGAAAGTGACTGATTCTCCCAATGTGTGGTTTGCAGCTATGCCTTCCTTTTACTGGAAACCCTATCAATGTCAGAAGCTACAGTTGCTTCAGCTGTTACCTACTCAACAGTGTATTCTGCAGAGAATTCATTTGGATTTATCCACCAAACCCATTCTCCATCCGTGGAAGGGCAGGCCTGTATTTCCATCTTCCAGGCAAAAATCCTTCCCAGAGCTTCAGGTCCAATGCTAGCTATCCTTTTGCGAGGGTTGGCCTGACCAGCCTGCCTGGAGTTTAGGATGTTGGAGGTGTGAGACTGTCTGCCTTCAGGAAAGGGGTACGTCTGACCATGAATGTTCCTGAATATCCTGTACTCAAGGCAGACTCTCTAACTGCACAGACTGGTGTGGGTAGGTAACAGTTACCTTGGAGAGATTGAACTCTAGAGAGTAGCTCCTTCTTGGATACTAATTGCTCTATTATCAAATTGACCTCATTACACTATCGACTCAAATTTCTGATTAAAAAAATTAAATTCCTGTTCACCTGTTTCATTATATTTAAAGAAATTTAATCAGGTCTAACACACTGAGAAGAGTCTGTTTTTTTAACCTCAGTCCATGCTGCTATACCCCTGAGCAGTGTGATATATGTTTATCACTTTTAAGCATCTGCATTTGATCCCACAGGATGGAACAGGGAGGGAGCCAAGCTGACATCACACCAGACTGGCTCTGTTTCTGTCAGCATCCATCTCTTGTCTTGCTCAATATCTTCTCAAGTGCCAAGTCTTGGATTCGGATTTTGACACTGCCTTGGATTCATAAGCCTGCGTTAGGAAAGGTGTGTCAAATTGACACAGACGTCCTCAGAGAGGGGAGAAATCATTTTCTCATGGAAATAGAACATGACTTTTTTCATCAATAACATTCACATGGAAGAGAAGAACTAAAATATTCCTGAGTGGACTACATTTGTATTTTAAATTTCCACATCAACCCTTCAGCACCAGGGCCTGGTGAGAACCAGCAGGAGCTGGAGCAAACCTCAAAACTTTCTTTCCTTCCTACCCACAAATCAGACATGGCCTCTTAATTCGTACTTTATTTATTTACAGTGTTTTAAACTGATTGTCTCAGCTGGTTATTACCTTGCTTTTCAAACATGGCACTTATCGCTAAAAGGCTGATTTACAAAATTCTTCATAATTCACTAACAGGTGTATGTCAGTTGTTACTTTCTACTGAAGGAGAAAGCAAGAACAATGTTTTTAAGAAAGACACACTCTTACCTGACTTCTTTGGAAAAAGAAAATTGTTAGTAGCTGTTTTGATATAATTTTAAACATAAGGAATGATAATTTTATAAAATACAATTCAAATCAATAAGACCAGTCACTGACCAGTCATTTTTCAGTTGGATTTACAATTTTTCCCATGAAGAGGATGCTCTGAGTATATTGATCAACAATCAACAGCAAAAATGGACGGTCGAACTTAACAACAGGAGGAACAGAATGAGGAAGAAAATCTATGCCAGTGACTGCCGCAGCCTCTGTGCCATTCTCATGAATCTTCAACAGGGCCTTGTGAGTAGCCTACAATAAAATGCAGCAAGAATTAATGTATGTGGAGAATGCACTGTGAGATAATTCAAAGTAACACTAAGTTAATTCAACTACTACCTTTCACAAAAACTGCTGGTGGGCCAGGAACCAGGAAGAGGCGCACTACAGCTCATGGTTGGTTTTTTAGCAATGGTGTCTCAATAAGCAAGTATTCTCACGTTCAGTGTTCCTCACCACAAGTGCATCCAGTACAGACCTTACCCACTGCACGTCTTGTGGAATTAACTGAATACTCAAGCAAATTCACAAGGAATGACAGTTTCAAAGGGAAAGGAAGCCAGGCTCCAGAACTGCTCTATATATATTCCTAACAGCACATGCATTACAATTTAGCCAGTAGACTACAACCTTGATACCAAATTTTTTATTAAATTATTTTTGGGCATTTTTAATATTTTTCTTTTACTAGCCCCAAGATGTTAGAACATTGTAAGTGCTGCTTTCAGAATGGCTGTAAGAATACTAGTCTTTGTCTTCACATTATTTTCAGTAAGTGGGATGTTTTCCTCAAATCTGGTCCGTCTTGCATTATTAGCACTCATCAGAGCCTTCGACAGTAACATCAGTTTTTAAATCCTTTAAAATTATACAATGCATCTTGGAAAAAGGCTGCTTCTTCTGGTAGATATGTTGATGCAAGACATCCCCAACAGTCGTCCATGGACACTTCTTTCACATGCGGAAAATGCGCTGTGTTCAGTTTCCGGTAAAGTGTTAAACCCGCTTCTCCACCCACCACCTTTACCTATCAGACAAAAGACAGATCTTATCTCCAGATCCTGGAGAAGTCTGAGAGAGTTTACAGTGACTTTATCAGCTAAATGTTCTATTTCAGAGTATCAGCCAGCCCTAGCAATAAGTAAAATTTTACAGCTTAGCTTAGGGTAAGGCACTTGGGTGTTAAGGAATCCACAGACTGTTGTTTCTGCTGACAAACTTACTTTTGAAACCTTCACATCGAGGTTTCCTGTGATTCCAGACAGATCAGCCTGATCAGAAAACACATCAGTTACACCCAGATTCATTAAGATCTTCTTTAAGTCATAGGTGCCCGAAACTGATAGTTTTGGAATATGCACTTCTATCCTCCTGTTAATTCAAAAGAAAATTATGGTAGTTATTGCAATCAAAGCATACCTTGGACTGAATGTTCCCAACTTGCTGGTGGTTCTTCTGTGCTAAAATGTTAGTCTTTTAATCTAAAAGAGATGGCAAGAAAAAGAAGATGGGAAGATGATAGTCTGGAGGATAAGGAAAGTATGGAAGGAGAAAAATATCAGTTTGGCTTTCTTTCATGATTCTGCAACAGAGTCACTTGGTAAGACAACAAGCAGTGGTGCTGCCAGCATTTTTGGAACAAAATTTGCATTCCTTTTCTAACCTTGATGGTTTTTCTTTTGGAATTCACATCCCATTCCCTCTGAGGGATCTGACTGCTCTGCGTTATGTTAATGTGCTTAAGACAAGAGAAATGGAGACACTTAATATCAACTAGAAAATATATGGGGAAAAAAATTTAATTTTCCACCTCAGAGACCTCTTCCCTTACCACAAGGCAATACTGATTCTAATTTCTGCTGAAAGTATCAAATCATCCAATCACTTGGTCTGACCCTTTACACTTATTCCATTGCTTAAACCTCCCATCAACATCACAGGCTTGTAACTGTAAAACCCGATCATAGTATTCAGGCTTTGGATTCTGACTACCTTGAATCGTCGAATCAAAGTTCTATATTTACCGTCTTTGAAGTGATTTTTCCCATTTAGACACTGTGTCTTTTGTCAGGCCACGTTCCAACTGTTTCATTTTTCCTTCATTGGGCAGGATAAACAGTGCTGCAACATCTCCCTTGTAAGGAATCTGCACCACCTTGCAAGACAACTTCCTGTCAGAGTATGCTTTATAGAATCCATCTCGAGTCATCATCTTCACTTCAACTGAGGTCTTCGCGTTCACATGGAAATAATCCTTGTGGGTCCCCCTAATACTGAAAGGATTTTCCCAGTAGGCTTAAAACCAAAAGAGAAATAATGCAATTGAATACTTACTTCAAGGAGGATATCTTAATATAGTCTAGACTAATGTACACTAGATAAACCCATATCTGAAGATTTACTTGAAGATAAAAGGTGTTACGAGTTTACTAAAGGTCTTGTTCCCTGTCATCTTTGCTCTACTACGTTCAGCAACAACTAAATATCTCAGGTTAAATTTTGTAGGGACTTGTACAACACCTTTCTAAGTCAGATAAATTACATGAAGTAACTTCCTCATATTACCTTATGTTTTATTTGAAGCAAATGAAAGCCGACCAGGATCCAGTGACTTGCTCTCTGTTTTCAGAATATTGCTTGTAAAGCAAGTTTCACAGCAGATGTCTGCCCTTTAAAAGGTAACATGTTAAGCTCCTCACATGCTTTTTCGTGTTCTTCATGTTGTAGCACTAAGGAAAAGCTTACATGCCAGAGCAACCCGAAGTTTTGGTCCTGAACATAACTGCTTTATGGTAAATGGAACAGGGCTTCCAGGTCTTTGATCTTCAAAGTGGTTTTCTCTTGATGTTTATTGAACTGAATTTTCTATGATATTTTATTTTGTATTAAAACAGGTCACTCGCGAAACAAATAGACAGGGATTACAGCTTGCCATTCTGTAATATTGACTAGAAATAAACAATTAAACAATTTAATATTGACTAGAAATAAACTAAATTTGAAAAATAAATAACGGAATGTGAACTCCACAGTATTCTGATTGCTTTATAACCTTTCCTCCTTGCCCTCCAGAAAAGAAATATACTCTGGTATGGTACTCAGACTAGGTACCTGAGACTAGGGCATCCAAATCTAATTTAAGAACTTGAAATAAAATCTGTTTTGCTGAAAGTTCATCTATTTCTAAACATTCATTTCTGAGTGGAAATTCTATGTGTGTCCTGCATGCTGCTACAAATAGATATAACATCTAAGAAGTTAATCATTGCCAAAGTAATGCATTCACTATTACCTCTTGGGATATGTATAATGTGGTGACAAGTTGTAGAACATTTAGACTTCAACTCCCGAGGTACCTACCCATTTTAGACATGGACTGTAAATAAATTAAAATTTTTGGTAATTTTTGTTAATCAGCATTTCTAGAATTTAGTTTTCTACTCCGTACAGCATGTGAAAATATTTTAATTTTAAAAATAATAAGTAGATGAAGTCTGATGGAAAAACTTAACTATGTATGAATCTGTTGTGCTCTGGCAATTCCCTATACTTGAAGATTGCAAATAAATGGACTTTTATTCTTAGAAGTCTAGACGTATACTAGAAAAACTTAGACATGGAAGACATTTCAAAGTGTGAGAACTTTCAATATTTGTTCATGATAGCCTCCTCCAAACACTTGCCTTTCTTTTAAAAATTATTCAAAAATAATTTAGCATATTTGTTTTAGTGCAGGTGAAGCAGGTGCTGCAGTAAGTAGCATCTATGTAACTTACCTTTGAAGTAAATATAGTTAACAATTACCATTAGGGTGTTTGGATCAAGTTCTTTAAGTATTTGCTTTATATTTCCATGGGTTTCATTCTTTACATGGTCATTGATCTCTTTTTTAGCTTCAGTGGAATTCTGGAAGTTACTAGAAACAACATTTCCTCTGTAGAGTTTTTTGATGTCCTTCAGAAATGTTTTCAGTGGCTTCAGGTGATTGTCCATGAACAGGGTGTTCCCCATACTCAGCTGCACCTGGTTACCAGGGTGGTTCAGCAAGAGGAGGAGATGACGAAAGCCATCATGTATCTCCTCCTCCTGAGTGTTGGTGAGGTTAAAGGCCAGTCCTTCCAGCACCTGAGCCTGGCTGGTGGCTCTGGAGCCCAGGGCCAGAAGGGCAAAGGCAGTAGAGATGCTGACTGGGGAAAAGAAAATGTTCTTGCCAGGTTCTTGGGTGGTTACTTGCCTGTAAAACCGAAAGGCAAAGTCTGTGTTGCTGGGGACTATCTGCTGGCAGGACTCAAGAGGATCTCCCTCGTGGGAATGTTGCTCCTGGGGTTCAGTTGCATTGGGCTGGTCACTGTGGTGGTCAGTCTGGGTCAGGCTGTGAACAGTGAGGTGAAGCAAGGCCACCAGAAAGCACAGTGAGAGGGTGGCCTTCATCTTTCTTCACAGCTACTGCATGGACAAAGAACAAAATGGTCTTGGATGCTGGAGGTCAGCTGTATTGACATCTCATCTTTTGTTTCTATCTGCTATTGCCTTCAACTGGTAATCACTGTTATCTCCTGACCTGCTCCTTTGCTATGAAAGTGGGTTTTTTAAATCATTTGCTTCTGAGTTTATCTGTAATTCCTGCCCATTCTGTTGCTGCCTACTTCAGTTCTGCTTTACTTTAGCTACAAAAGTTCCTTGTTACTGGAGAAAGAAACATGGAGAAAGAAAGAAACAAGTGAGTATTAAAGGAAAATAAGAGAGAGGGAGAACAAGAGAAAAGGCTTTCTTTTTTTTCTTTTGTCTCTATGTAAATCCATTTTATAACAAGGCAGCACAACAGAAGCATTGTGATTAATTCTTTTATGTTCATCTCTTAAGAACTCTTGGGATTATTATGTTATTTGGGATTGAATGAGGGTTACGATGAACGACAGTGCAATGTCAATGGAAAACAATATGAGATTGCAGCATTTAAAAGTGATGTTTTCTCTTTTTCCTGACTCATTTTAGTATACAAACTGACTAATCACGAGAGCTGGTAAAATTTTTCTGCTTCAATACCTGATCAGGTTAAAATATGTTTGTTTACTTTAAATGACCACTCATGTAATATATTCCAGATGGGGGATACACACAGGAAGGAACACATCTGGTCATAGGAGGGTGAGGTCACTGGTATGGGCTTGGCCTCTCCTGTCTTTCCAAACTTGCTATCAGCAGGAAGGTCTCCTTTTGTAAGGTAAATGGGCCTAGAGCCAGAGTAGCACTCAGGACTGAGACGGGATCATGGCATCTTGGACATTTGGAGTGACTGGGCCTGATTTTTTGTTTGTTTGCTTACTCCTTTCTCCTTTACCAGTTAGACCCGGAACATGCTGGGATGATTTGAAATGTCTAAGATGCTTAACCTGTCAGAAAACAGGTAAGAGCTATTCCCATTAAAAAGATTGTACCAATTACAAGAAAAGTAACTCCAAATAGCCTTCACCTAATGTCCTACTTGAAATGGAGCAGCTGCAGGGCAGATGATCGTAAGTTACCTGCTCACCCCCCAGTCAGTGGTAAAGGCACTCAGCAGAGTGGATGAGAGGTTTACTGGTACTTTCCCCACCCTGTGTCAGCACTCTAACCACTAAAATTCAGGTGAAAAAGAGCCAGCTTGTCCTTCTGCAGCTTTGCTCTATGTGATCTGAGTAAATTGGGATTTACAGGGAAAGTTGGCATAGCAAAATCAATTTGTGAATTCTGTCTGGACCATTGTGGTGCAAGTCATTTACTCATTCACTTCAGTTTTGGTTATCTGGTTGTAGAATAAAGGTCTCTAAGTAACCTTTGTTGATCTCACCAAGGCTTTCGATACTGTGAGCAGAAAAGGTCTATGGCAGATTTTGGAACTTTTAGGATGTCTCCCCAAGTTCCTTCAAATGATCATCTCACTTCATGAGGATCAGCGCAGCCAAGTCAGATATGGTGATGCACTTTCTGAGCCCTTTCTAATTACCAATGGTGTGAAACAAGGCTGTGTTCTTGCACCAACTCTATTCACAATCTTTTTCAGCATGATGCTCCAAAGGGCCACTGCAGACCTTGATGATCAAGACGGTATCTACATCCGATACCGTACTGATGGAAGCCTTTTCAACCTGAGGCGACTGAAGGCCCACACTAAGACCTTAAACCATCTTGTCCAGGAGCTGCTGATGATACCACCCTTGTTGCCCATACAGAAGCAGCTCTGCAGTGTTTAACATCCTGCTTTGCAGATGCTGCTAAGCTCTTTGGGCTGGAAGTTAGCTTAAAGAAGACAGAAGTTCTCTATCAACCTGCACCTCAGGAAGTCTTCCATCATCCCTATATCACCATTGGCCAATCAGAGCTCAAATCAGTCCAGCAGTTTAGTTACCTAGGCAGCCTCATCTCCTCAGCTGAGAACACAGCTGTGCTGGGCAGGGCACGTCTCAAGGATGAAGGATCACCACCTCCCTAAGATCTTGCTCTATGGTGAACTTGCCACCGGCTGCCGCAAGAGAGGAGCCCCGAAAGGAAGGTACAAGGACTCCCTGAAACAACATCTCAGCCTCGGCCATATTGATCAACATAACTGGTCTATTCTGGCCTCAAATCAGGAGGCCTGGAGACACACCATCTATAACACAGCTGTCTCCTTTGAGAATGCACGCAGGATCACTCTTGAGGAGAAAAGACAACACAGAAAGAATTGTGCCTTGCAGAATATACCACCTAAGGAGTCTTTCTGTTGTGCCTTTTGCAATTGGATATGTCTGTCTCGCATTGGCCTTATTAGCCACCAGTGTGCTTGTAACAAATGTGGATAGAGCCTTTCCCAAATCTTCGTTCGCGAAGCCCAGCCATGATGACTAGTCAATATTTCTCAAAATCAAGCTCACCTGTCATTTGAGTGCTTAGAAACCAGGTTTCATCCTTGAAAGCAGATGTGCTTTATGACTCACTTAGCTAAAGGCCAGATAGCTGTATCAAAATCATTAAGTTAAAGATAACTGGGTACTTACATTACATTCAGAAGGCTCTTGCTCTCCTATGGGTTGTGCTGTTTCTTGCTGCTTTAGTCATACTGCTGTTTTCCTCTGTTAAACATTACATGGCTTCAAATACATATTACCTAGAAGCACAAAGGTGAATGCTGATGAAGCTAGTTTTCTTGGATGTTATGTGCATCTGTCCACATTTCCTCACTCCAAACAGAGAGCAAAGACCATGGGGCCTGGCTGGTCAGTAGAGTGGAGCGTTACATCCAAAAAAGTAAGCAAATATTTATTGGAAATGAAATTTTGGTGCCAAGAGCAGCTACTTTGCCCTATATGCTACCTGAGATGGATATAACTGTTCATCTGGAGACACAATTTTGCCCAGCACTAAGCTTTGAAGACCAGGGTGAGGGAGCTGCAAGGAGCACCACTTGTACTTAGCCATGCTACCCAAATTACTGGACTGCACTTATGTGTCAACATGTCTTTTATTTCTACGTAGTAGAGACTCCACTGGTCACTATTCAGAAGCCAGTGAGTTGTCTTGCCCTCATAAACATTTACACTTCTGTTAACCATTACATGCATCAAAAAAAGTTATCTGAAGACACAGATAAATGCTGATGTAGACATGCAGAGAAGGTAGTAATCGCAGGGACAGCTGGCTTTTATGTTTGCTGTCCTCAACATGGATAATTGCCATCTGCAAACACACTTTGAAGAGGAGAGGTCCGTGGCTGTAGGCAGTCGTGCTACCAAATACACCTTTCTAGCTTATTGCCAGCTAGTGACACAAATGCTAAAACATCTTGTGAGGTGTGTTATGGCCTGCACTGGTGCTTTAGTTTTTTGATCATGCAGCTTGGGGATCTGTTAGAACATGCTAAACCAAGCTAACTTCTTTTATGGAAAGAGCAGAAAAGGTAATTGATGTGAAACTTGTTTTTTCTCCCCAAATGAACTTGGCAGCAGTTCAGAAACAGTCCCACACTCTGAGGCTTTCTTTGAGCCTTGGTTTAGTCACAACAGAAGAGGAAGCCTGGGCAGTGGAGTCCACTGTGCAGCTGCAGGGCCAGCTGAAGCAGAAAGTAACAGGAGAAAGACTCAGTGCTGTAAAGAATTACATGCAAGAGTTGGGGCTGATTCTGGGTTCCCTGCATGACTCTGAGGTGAACAAAAACATGATTCAATACGGTGAGAAAACTGTCAGAGACACAAACACAAACGTTTTTGTTGTTCAGACATTCATCTGTATTAGTCTCTCGTTGAAAGTCAACATGGATCAATTCTGAAACTCTTTAAAAATCTGCCTCTCTTTGCTTCATTTATCCTTTTTCTCAGGAGGTGGTGGCTTGAATAAGAGGTTCATTGTCCTGTCAGGTAGGTCAGCAGAGGTTCTACAAGCCAGCAGCTGGTCCACCACGTGGCCTATTTCTGGAGAGAGTAACCTGCAAAAGGTGCTTAGCAGTGAACTTCATTTTACACCCTCGTTCCTTCCTGAACATGTGACTGTACTGGTGCTATTTGACTCCAGTGCTTCTGTTACAAGCTGCCTAGCTCCTTTCTTCTGCAAGTGCTCAGCATATCTTGCAGGCAGCCCTGGCCATGCCCCCTGAATGCAATGTGTGCTCTAAGCATCATTCTGTAGAAACATTTTCTAGGACTGTTACAAAATTTCTCTTGTTTCGTACACTGAAAGAAAAGAAATGGCACTGTCTCAAAGTAGCAAAATGTCAGTCTTGGCTGGGGAAGGACCTGGACTGAGTGTTTGCAGAGCAGTCACAGCCACCCCACTCCAGATCTATAACATCCACATTATAAACATATTTCTAGTACAGATGTATTGGCTGCCCCAAGGCTGTCTTCATGTTCCATCCAAAAAGATGGTATATGTATTGCCAAAATTCACCACTGCTTACTCTGGCACCAAACTCTAGCTGAGAGGATGCAGTCATTGTTGGGGAGCTGGGGGGTGGTGGCTCTGGAGCAGACTCAGTGTTAGGTTGAAGAACTTACCTAAAGTATGTCTTGAAGACATACGTGGTCGCAGTCAGATTTTCCCATTAATTTCTGTTCTTACAACAGGACTGAAAGGTCTGCCTGCCCCTGGCCTTCAATTCAGCAAGGGAAGGAAAAGGCATGGAAGGTAAGCCATGGTCAGTCTGGTAGTGGTTCACATAAGAATTTTCCCTGCATTTATTTTCCTAAAAATACCTTTTTTAGCTTTCTTATACCATTTGACAGAGCTCACCGCTCATTTATACTGTAGATGGAGATTAATGAGGAGCTTGTTACTCTAATGAGTTTTTAATATTTTGCATAATATGAGAGGTAAACATATCCATCTCAAGCAATGGTAATAGAAGCTGCAGATGATGAATGGTATTGCCAAATTATTCAGAAGAAACACAGATCTATGATTCCATTTAATCTATGGAAAACTGGGGTTCACACGTCAGTCAAACATAATGTAGCAGAAGGTCAGTGTTTGACTGCCACTAAAATCATTACATCAGGATAACAAATTTGGTATTTCATAATTTGAAAATGTATTCAAGATTTTCCTTAGTTTTCTTTTAATAGTTACCTATGTAAAGACACTCCCAACTAGAGTAGTGCAGTGAGAAACACAACTTGGTTATAAAGAGGTGTTCAAAATAATTGTGTTACCATTTCCATATTACTAAGCCTTGGAAATAATAGCTCAGCTCTAAAGCCTCAGGAAAGAAAGGAAATATTTCCTTTCCATGTATTGTATTTATTGATATCAAGGAAAACTGTAGAATTTATGTACTAAATACATAGTTTTCTGTATCATGTGGAAAGTGAACTTCTCAAACCAGAATGGCTGGAAACAGATTTTCTAATTCCATGTTTATGAACCAAACCAAAAATGTCTTAATAATCATGTGTACTTCATGACTACATTTGGCAGATGTTTGAAAGAAATGTTAAGGTGTTTGATATTTGCTGACCAAGTCATATTCTTATGCAGGAGCCCAGCTGTTACTAAAAGAGCGTAATTTTAAAACTCTAACTTTGAAAACCCTAGTTATGCTAGCAGAAAGCTTGTCCATGAAAAAGTGTTACTGATCCTAAGCAGTTGTTATTTAATCTATTTTTTTGTTTTAAAGTAGGAATGATTGGTTTAAAAGAGGCTTTTTAAAAACAGCAACCTAAAATCTTAGGTAAGACATGCACACACAGGTTCTGGATGCACTAAATGTCTCTCACTGGCTTGTTTCATTTTTCTCTAAAGGAACACAATTTTGCTCTTAGTATAAGTTTTCTGCTTTATACTTCCAAGGCAGAAAACCATGTGGATTTTTGTAATCGATATTAAAGAAAACTCTAGCCTCATATTTTCACTTGGTTAGGACTGTAAGCATTGCTGATTTCTGTAAGCAGTTACACAGTGGCTATTTAATGAGCCATGCCTAACAAAGTAATAAGGTTTAATTAGCCCAGCTTAATCTGACAGCATGCTGCTGGCACACTATTTGTTTGTACAGCTGGCTAGTGATGCATGTATGCATATAAAGATCACTCCTTGAAGTTTTTCTTTGCTTTTCAAATATTGTGTAGTTGAATTTCATGTTTTCTTCTCATACAGACTCTGCTTCCTCCATACAATGTAAAATCAGGTCTCAGTTAATAAGATTAACATATTCTTCATTTTGAGTTTTGATAGAGGCTACTTTCAAGTTTAACATTGGCAATGCCTATACAAATTTCATATTTTTATTGTTTAATCATGGCAAAAATTTGGATCACATGAGAAACCAAAACCTGTGTGAACAAGATCCTAATCTTGTATTATCTTCAACATGTACCATTGTTTCAGGGGGCAAAAGCTCCAAGTAAAGCACATAGATAGGCTGCTTAAGGCAGGATTAGATCTACACAGAGATAGTAACTGATTAATGTTTATAGCATCTTCATTTATAGTTTAAAAATAAGATTATTGTTTTGTTCACATGTTGGTATCCACCATGCCTTACATGGATTTTCAAACCTGAAACTCTGAGCCAAGGTTTCCTTTTTTTTCTGTTGTTTTTTGTTGTTGGTTTTGTTTTTTTTTTTTGCTACAGAGAGTCTAACCTAGAGTTGCAATCAATGATAACCACTGAATAGTGAGAGGACAAGAATTAAATCTATATTCATCAGCCCTGGCTAGTGCACTCTCTGTGTTCTTCCCAGCAAAATTCAGCAGGTCTTTGTGAAAGTCCCATAAAGAAAGTGGGGGAGTTTCATAGGAACAGAGACTGGATGGCAGAAGTGTAAAGGGAGGTCCCTGATGCAGTGACTCCCGGGAACAATTGCGTCTGAGGAAACCCAGATCAGTGACTCTCAATCTACCTAGTGGAGAGCAGAGCACTGGAAAAGCCAGAAAGAGGCTGAAGTGGAAAAGCAAGAGAGAGGTAGTCTGTGCTTCTCTAACAAAACACATGCATCCACTCAATAATAAAATCTTGTTCAACTTCTGTCCAGCCACATTGTCCAATGGTTTCTTGAAGCAACCTTATAATCAATATGGCAAAGAAACATTAAAACTTCGGGATCATAATCAGTCATTAAAACATTATATTTCTAAATACTGTCCCTCTATACAGCATATTTTGCTTTTTAGGAGAACATAGCCAACAAGTGTGCCAGTATGTTTTCCCCACAGATTTGAACTGCATGACTGCTTTCCAGGAGATGTGTAGGTAATTTACATCTCTCGAACTGTACTATTTAGTGGAGTGTCCAGTTAGTATGTGGGAGTGAAACCTAATCACACAATGGACTTGTTATTTGCTGGCTGTCATTTACAAGAAAGTGAGGAATCGAACTGACATCTGAGTGAGAAAGCATCACAAAAATCACCCATCTCTTCACAGAAAGCCATCAATATTTGTCACAGAGGTTAATTTTATGCTAGTTCAGATTTATGAACTCGAAATCCAGTGTGAAAACAATGAGGGAAAAAGGGGTTTTAATCGATGTCTTTGAAGTAGTTTCTAAAGGAAGACTGGAACATCCCTAAAATCCACAGAATGCCAAAAATAATTCCTCATTTTTGCCCACAGAAATGAGATACAAGACTTAGGTCTCAGTGGTTAGTTCAGTGTTGCCAAACTCCGCGAATACTGAAGTGTTTAGAGAGGCTGTTTTCCCTTTAAACTTCTTCTGACCTTTCATCATCTTCCCCCGCCCAAATTCCATCTCCATCCAAAGCACAACTGGAGTGCCTTGGAAAGAAAACAGAGTTGGATTTCTTGGTGGATCAGGGGAAGAACATTTTGGGGAATCAGTCAGTAAAAAAGAAACTAGATAAACATAGTCTTTACTGTTAAAAAATAGAAATAGAGGACTTATCTGACCACTTTTACTGCCTCTAAACAAATTTGTTCATTCATGTTCCTGTGTTAAATTAAATTAAGATGTATTTCTGTAGTGCCTTCATCTGTACAGCAATACA